ACGCGGCTACAACCTCATGAAGAGGATGATGGTGGTGCCCGTCATGCGTGAGTCTCTTGACAAGGACTCCCTCACCAGTTACGTCCTTCAGGACGAGGCACTACAGGAGGCAGAGCAGCCCACGGAGCTCCTTCCGCAGGCGAGTTACGCTGCACCGACGAAGCAGAATCGTCAGCAGGAGCAGCGCAGGAAGCCGGGCGGAGGTGGTAGCGGAGGTGGGCGGTCGACGAAGGACGTAGACAAGAAGAGGTCGATGCGGGACAAGGGCCGAGGAGGTGGTGGTCGACGACGGGAGTACTGGATCTGCCATGACCCCGACCATTTCTCCTACGAATGCCCCGAATGCGACGACAACGACGAGGACGACAGCGAGGGAGGCCGCGGACGAGCGACCAGCCATCGCCCACGTCGAGATGCCAAGCCGCGCAAGGAGAAGCAAACGTTGAAGAAGACGTCGTCGACAACTCCAGTGGCCAGAGCCAAGGCGACGGAGAGGCGTCGTGCTCGATGGTTGGCGTAGTGGAGTCGACGGTCTCGCTGGCGCCGGAGGCTAGCAAGGACTTCCAGGCGGTGGCGGCAGCTGTGCAGGCAAACCCGTTGGCGGTGCTCCTCGACAGCGGTTTCTCCCACCACCTGATGGGGACGAAGGCGGTCTTCATCGACATGGCGCCGAGAGATGGTATAAAGCACATGCGCGGATTCAACGGGGCGCTGTAGCCTGTCGAGGGTCGTGAAACCATCGCTCTGCAATGGGAGGACGGGAAGCGGGTCCTCATCCCCGACGTGCTCTACGTTCCGGACGTACAGGCAAACCCGCTGTCAGCTGGCCAACTGAAGGAGAGCGGGGTGTAGCTGCAGGGCGACGGCGACAAGATGGTGCTCATTGCCGCAACCGGGGAAGTGCTAAGTTGAGCACGCTACACCGGACGAGTCCTCTGCACCGACCTTCGCCCCTGCTCAACGCGGTCGCCGTCGACCGAGGTGGTGGCTTTGCGGACAGTCGTCTCAGCGACGAAGTCGACCCCTGACCAGTGGCACGCGAGGCTAGCGCACGTCGGCGTCGACACGATCAAGAGCTCGGCGAAGCATGACGTTGCTACTAGGCTCGACGTCAAGCCGTCGACCGGAGTGGACCCACCGTGTGTCTCGTGCATCGGAGGAAAGCTGGCGTGGCAGACCTTCCCCGACAAGGGCTCGGACGCCGAGGAGGCACTGGCTGTCATGCACATTGCCTTGTGCGGGCCATTTCGGGTGGCTGCCATGGATGGCAGCTTGTACTTCCTGTTGCTGAAAGATCGCCACACTCGGTTCGTGTGGACAATGCCGGTTGCTAATAAGATCGACGTACTGCAACAGTCTCAACAGTGGCTGGTGCTGGTAGAGCGACAGATGAAGAATTCGGTGCTGATGCTCCGCTCAGACCGAGGAGGGGAGTTCCTTGGGAAGGATTTCACTAACTTTGTCAACAAAAAGGGCATCGTCCATGACATGACGTGCCCCTACACTCCGCAGCAGAATGTCATGGCTGAGCGGGAAATGCGCACGGCCGTCGAGTCCGTGAGGACGGTGCTTCTGCACATGGGCGTGCAGCACCACTGGTGGCACCTGGCTCTATGCCAAGCTGTCTGGGTGCGCAACTGCTTGGAGCGGTCGACGACGCCTCCGGGGACGACTCCGTACCAGCTTCTGACGGGAAAAAAGCCCGACCTTACGCTGGCGCGGGTGTGGGGCTGCATGGTGCAGTTCATGGTTCCCGAGCAGCAGCGCGGTGGGAAGCCGGCGCCGAAGGCTCGCTGGGGGCTTCACCTGGGCGTGTCGCTGAAGAGCAAGGGCTGGGAGGTGCTGGACTTGACCGACAACAAGGTAGTCACGTCGGTCAAGGTGATCTTCTACGAGACTCTCTCGCTGGAGGTGTAGAAGGCGAAGTATGGGCCGGCGTCGGGGCGGACGCAGGCAAACCGCCGATAGACACCTCGACGGTGACGGACCCGCTGCTCGCCGAGGTCGACGAGCTTGCTGATAAGGATGTCGTGGAAGTTCTTCCTCCTCCCCCTGTTCTTGCTCCTCCCACCCCCGTCGTAGATCGGCCTGCGTCGACACTTGTGTCAGCCATCGGCGATGAGGGGAGCCTCGAGGCATCGCATGTGGTGCCGGCCAGTGGCATCGCCGGCGGCCAACAAGGCGCTTAGCTCGTCGACCAGGAGGGGAAGCCGTCGACGACACTGGAGCAGCAGAGAGGGGAGCCGGTCGAACAGGAGGCAACAGTAGGGGTGCAGTCGACATGGGAGCAGCAGGCGGTGCGGTCGACAGGGGAGCTGTCGAAGTCAGCAGAAGGTGAGTAGCCAGACCAAGGTCCAACGCTAGCGAAGCAGCTGGTCGAGGATGCACAGGTCGAACTCGGAAGCCGCCGAAGCGACTGGTCTTCCACGCCTGCCTGCTAACAGCTGCATTCACCACACTGCTTGACGATGCAGAGGCGGATGTTGACCCGCTAGAGCTCGACCCCGACGTGCATGCCGACCCTGAACATCGCTGGGACATTGCGACGATGACAGTGAAGGAAGCGTTGGCGAGCTGGTAGGGCAAAGCGGTGAAGGCCGCCATGGATGAGGAGACCCGCAGGCTGATCAGCATGGGCACATGGGAGCTGGTCGAACGCCTACGCGGGGTGAACATCATGAAGAACCGGTGGGTGCTGACGACCAAGTACCGTATCGACGACACCGTCGAGCGCGAGAAGGCGATGCTGGTCGTGAAGGGCTTCACGCAGGTGTATGGCGCCGACTACGACGAGACGTACTCGCAGGTGAGCAGCTACGTCACGCTGGGGATCTTCCTCAGCATCGTCGCCGTCCTCGACCTCAACCAGATGCAGCTCGATATGAAGAACTCTCTCCTTCAGAGTAAGCTCGACCGGGTGCTGTGCATGTACCGGCCGGACTACTTCGACGACGGAACCGGCCAAGTGTGCAAGCTGCTGAAGAGCCTCTATGGGCTGAAGCAGTCGCCGCTGCTGTGGTACAGGGCTCTCGATGGCGTGCTGCTGGGCGCTGGCTGGAAGAAGAGCCAAGTCGACGAGGCGCTCTACTTCAAGGTCACCGACAACGGAGTGATATGCTGGGTGCTGGTCTACGTCGACCACCTGCTCGCCTCCAGCATCAGCACCGAGATGCTGAAGGAGCTGAAGGAGCTGCTGGAGGCCGCCTTCGAGCTGCGCGAAATCTCGCCAGTCGTGAAGTACCTCGGGCTATAGCTGCACCAGCAGAACTACGCCAACAAGCTGCGCAGGCGCTTCATCGTCGAGGAGCGGACCGGTCGCATCCCAAAGATGGCGGTATTGGTCGACGTCTACGCCGATCTAACAATCAATGATGAGGAGGCACAGGAGCGCAAGGAGGAGGAGTATCGGCAGAAGATCGGCTCGCTGCAGTTCGCGGCGACGACGACGAGGCCGGACATCACCTTCGTTTGCAGCAAGCTGGGGAGCGGCCTTACGGTGAGGAGCGATCAGAACTGGCGCGAGGTCGACCGCTGCCTCGCCTACCTCACTGACACCCGCGACACTGCCCTGGAGTTCGGATGTGGACCAGAGTCGCTGGAGCTGATCGGCTACGTAGACGCCGATGACGCGGGCGACAAGCAGAACCAGACGAGTACGGGTGGCTATGTGTTCGTCTTCGGAGGGGCCGCGGTCTCCCGGTCGAGTTAGCGCATCAAGTGCGCAACGCTCTCCTCGACCGAGTCGGAGTACGTCGCGGCCAGGAACGCCGTCAAGGAGTGGCGTCGACTTCGCTTCCTCGAAAAAATCAAGCTGCGCGATGCTGGGAAGCCGACCATCCTTCGTGTGGACAACAAGTCGGCAATCACGGTCGCTGAGGGCTTGGGGCTGACGGGCAACCTCAAGCACATGGAGCGATGCTACGCCTGGCTGCAACACATGGTGAGGCGCGGGAAGTTCACGCTGCAGTACATCCCGACCACCGAGCAGATGGCTGACTTCCTGACGAAGGCGCTGCATTTTCCGATTTTCAACCAGTGCTCTGTCGCCATCGGCCAAGTTTGTCTAGCCGACGTCGGCGACGATGGCGATGATGTGCAGCAATAGGTGCCGTGCCCTTCTGCACGGCTGGTGCGGTGAACGGCGTGCTGTGTGTGGGGTGCACGCCGCGGACGAGTTTTCTCCGTGGAGTGCTGCTGTGTGGGCTGGTGGCCCAAGCATGAGCGCAGCAGGGGAGTGTTAACGGGAATGGAGTGTTGGCCCCGCCCTCGCTTGGGCGACACCGACGTCCTGGTCGGGTGAGAAGCAGCCGGCCGTTCTCAATGAAGGAGCTGCTCAACGGGCTTCACTGAGCTGCAGAGGATCACTGTGGTGTTGCCGTCGACCAGGGAGCTCGACGGCCTTCTTCAATGGGGCAGGACAACGAATTGGTTGTCGACCTGTACAGGTGTGTCACGGGGATGGAGCCGTCGACCATGGAGCTCGACAGCTGTAGCTGACTAGGCTGGTCGACGGGTGGGCCTTCGACTAGGAGGAGCAGTTCGACGGGGACGCCGACGGAGCAGTCCGTCGACCTGACATGTGAACGGCATTCGACGAGGGGAGCTCGGCAACAGCAGCTGACAGTGCTGGTCGACGGAGGGGTCCGTCGACCAGGGTGTTGCTCAACGGGAGATGTGGTCGACCAGAGGCACCTGGTGGTCGACCAGAGCACTCGGTGGTCGACTAGAGGCACTTGGTGGTCGACCAGAGCACTTGGTGGTCGACCAGAGGCAATTGGTGGTCGACCAGAGCATCTGGTGGTCGACCAGAGCACCTGGTGGTGTCCAGGTTGACCAGGTAACCTGCTCAGCGAGTTCTGCGAAGGCACGCGAACGTCGTCGAGGTCGTAGTGACGAAGGCGACTTCGGGCTGGTGTCGCGAAGTCGATGTGGCTCGTTAGGTGCAGACAACAGCCGACGGATGCACAACGATGCAAGTCGGGCCAATCGTCTGCGCGCACATGTGTACGTGCGCACTGCTGTCTTCTACGGGACAACGCTGGACATCCACTCTACTGCAGCGTTGGCACGCCGTCGACCTGCAGTGTTGGCAGGTCGCCTTTCTGCAGTGCTGGCGCGGCTCCTCTACGCAACGCTGACAGGCAATTGACCAAGTTGTGCTGGCGGTCGACCAGGCTAGCTGCAGAGTTGCTAGGTGCCTGATGTAGTCATTTTCTGTCATTGTTCAATCATTCTTCAATGCAATCTTTGCCTAGTGAAACTCTTGCCGATTTCTCCCGTGAATCCGCAAGCGCTAATGAACTAAGCAAAGCTACGATCACTCCTAGTAGTTCATGCCAACCCCCCTCGTAGTCTAGCTCACTACCTTGTAGAGTGTCTCTCCGTATTCCCCGCATCCCCATTCCCTTCCCCCATATCTCTCTCCCTTCCCAGTTTCCTTCCACGCAATCCCCCTTTCCCTTCCCCCATCCCCTTTCCCTTCCGCATCTCCCTCTCCCTTCCCCGATCCCCTTTCCCTTCCGCATCTCCCTCTCCCTTTCCCCATCCCCTTTCCCTTCCGCATCTCCCTCTCCCTTCCCCCATACCTCTCTCCCTTCTTCGCATCCCCATTCCCTTCCCCCATACCTTTCTCATTTCTCCCCATCCCCCTTTCCCTTCCCCCATCTCAGTTTCCTTCCCTGCAATCCCCCTTTCCCTTCCCCCATCCCCTTTCCCTTCCGCATCTCCCTCTCCCTTCCCCCATCCCCTTTCCCTTCCGCATCTCCCTCTCCCTTCCCCCATCCCCTTACCCTTCCGCATCTCCCTCTCCCTTACCCCATACCTCTCTCCCTTCTCCGCATCCCCCTTTCTCTTCCCCCATCTTAGTTTCCTTCCATGCATCCCCCTTCCTTTCCCCCAAGCCTCCCTCCCTTCCTCCCATGACAAGACGCACGGGAAGGAGGAAGGGACAAGACAAGACATCCTAAACTCCAGGTTGAATTGAAGGGTGCAACAGGCGAATAACGGGCAACAGGCGAATAACGGGCAGAAGTGATTAAGTGGAGGGGCGTCAGCCACACTGAATTACTGGTTCTTTTTCGTATGTATATCACTAAAAGTAGGAGCCTTGATTCTAGTTTCCCTACCATATCTTGACCTATGAATGGTTGCATATTTTGAATCATGAATATAAAATCACCATACATGCGTTACGCTATTTCTTCAAACTTCACTTTTAGTTTCTACCATAAACTGCCAATTGTATGCTTTCAAGTCCACAAACATAACAGACTTCTTACGGAACTGTACAAAGGACCACCAGGGTCCAAGGCATCGACTTTTGCATCACTCGTTGTCGCTTGGTTTCCTTGAGTTGAGGCGGGTGCTCTTCCGTGCGACTCTCGGAGTGGCTTTGGTGCATCCCGAGCCTTTGTGTTTGGTTCGCATCAGGTTTGGTTCTGTTCAGGTTTCGGGTGATTTTTTCATTTTGTCAATAGATACTGGTACTATAACAATATGTTTTGACTTCAGAAAAACCAAAGACCAACCGTGTGTACATCTACCAGAAAAAACAAGCCAAATGCAACACCCTTAAAAAACCTCATCAAAATACCCAAACTGAACACCCAGTCAGGACACCCCATCAACACACCCTATCCCGCACCCCATTTCACATTTGCGCATCCACCATATACGGGGCCTCCACCCAAAGAGCCCCACCCTCCTCCTCGACGTCGTCCTTCTCCCGGTCCACCAAGTCCACATTCATCCCCCCCATAGACGCCGCTCGAAGCAGGATGACACGAGCTTGCGCCCGTTGTAACGCTACCACAATGAGCGCCTTCAGAGACCCCAAAAGATAAGCCGAAAACGAAAAGTCATCCTCCCGACAAGCCCCCCGTGACACGGCTAGCCCCATGTGCGCATCCCCCTGTTGTCGAAGCCACTGCCGGAAACGCCCGCCAAGACATCCCCACGTCTCTACTATCAACGGAGTGAACTGCACGCCCCGGTTGCGCGCAAGCAGAGGCGCATAATCACTCGTTTTGCGACGCTCCCACTCCCTTGCCGCCGCACCAATAGAACGACCGCACTGCCCTAGCAGAGACGGGGACAGCGATAGCGGGTCCGCGACGCTGATCTCTAGAGCGTGAGCCTCCCTGCCCCCCTGCCTGTTGCTCTCCCTGGGGTGCACCGGGCGCCCCCGGCTGCCCCCCTGCCTGCTGCTCTCCCTGGGGTCCACCGGGCGCCCTCGACTGCCCCCCTGCCTGCCGCTCTCCCTGGGGTGCACCGGGCGCTCCCGGCTGCCCCTCCGCCTGCTGTGCGGCAGCCCCGCTTCCAATCCGCCCTTGCGATTTGCAGGAACGTCGGCTCCCGCCTCGGCCCCGTGCCCGGGTTCTGCTCGCTTGGCTTACAGCATCCGAATTCGCGACCTTCCGCTGACCCTGCGCCGGCAGCTCCCGCCGCCCTTCTGTTTGCAGCTCCTGCCGCTCCTCTCGTGGGATTTCCTGGGCTCGTGATAGCTCGGCCATTGCCACGTCTGCAGCTTGCTTCTCCCTCGCCGGCAGCTGGCGTTCTCCCGGCAGCTCCGGCTGCCCTTTCCTTGGATGCTCCCCTCCACTCGGCAGCGTCCGCTGCCCTTCGATGCGCAGCTGCTGCTGCCCTCCGCTCTGCAGCTCCTGCTGCCCCCCGGCATGTGACTCCACCTCCATCTCCGTCACCAACGCCTGCTGCCCCCCAGCCTGCAGCCATTGCTGCTCTCCGCTCTGCGACTGCTGCTGCCCTCCGCTTCGCGGCTCCTGCTGCCCCGCGGCCTGTGGGTCCACCTCCATCGCCGTCGCCAACGCCTGCTGCCCCCCGGCCTGCAGCTCCTGCTGCCCCCCGGCCTGCAGCTCCTGCTGCCCCCCGGCCTGCAGCTCCCGCTGCCCCCCGGCCTGCAGCTCCTGCTGCCCCCGGCCTGCAGCTCCTGCTGCCCCCCGGCCTGCAGCTCCTGCTGCCCCCCGGCCTGCAGCTCCTGCTGCCCCCCGGCCTGCAGCTCCTGCCGCCCCCCGGCCTGCAGCTCCTGCCGCCCCCCGGCCTGCAGCTCCTGCTGCCCCCCGGCCTGCAGCTCCTGCTGCCCCCCGGCCTGCAGCTCCTGCCGCCCCCCGGCCTGCAGCTCCTGCCGCCCCCCGGCCTGCAGCTCCTGCTGCCCCCCGGCCTGCAGCTCCTGCTGCCCCCCGGCCTGCAGCTCCCGCTGCCCCCCGGCCTGCAGCTCCCGCTGCCCCCCGGCCTGCAGCTCCTGCTGCCCCCCGGCCTGCAGCTCCTGCTGCCCCCCGGCCTGCAGCTCCTGCCGCCCCCCGGCCTGCAGCTCCTGCTGCCCCCCGGCCTGCAGCTCCTGTTGCCCCCCGACCTGCCGCTCCTGCTGGACCCCGGCCTGCAGCTCCTGCTGCCCCCCAGCCTGTATCCACCGCTGCCCTCCGCTCTGCTTGGGTTGTTGCCCTCCGCTCGGCAGCTGCTGCTGCCCTCCGCTCTGCAGCTCCTGCTGCCCACCGCTTTGCAACCCCTGCTGTCACATCTGCTAAATCGCGCGCTACGGCTGCTAAATCGGGTGATTTTTTCATCCTCGTCAACGTTCATTTCGTGCCTCGCCAGCAAATCACTTGTCTTCGAAGCAAACCAAAGGTAATACGCTTGGAAATTTGAGACACGGGTTATAAGCGCATCAGCAATCAAAATGGATGCGCTAATATACTAGGGATCAAGATGGGTACTTCTCTCAAAAGCGGACGAGTGGCAGAAGCTGAGCAAGATAGGAATCACGGAGCGCTGACAGTAGCCGCCGCTCAATCAACGCTCTATCAATCTCGGAGTTTTGCCACTTTGCTCGACAGCTTTCCAGCCAAGATCTTCTTGGCGAGCGCGTGTAGATGATTACCCACGGTGGTTCAGCAGTTCCGCCGCGTCGCGCAGAATGTTCGAATGTCGTTCCAGAAGGGCCAGCCCCGACCCCATTCTCGCAGCGCGACAGTATTTTCGGAATGAGGTTTTCGGAAAGAAATTATGTGGCACTGAAAGGTTGGAGTCCGCGACAGGAGCTGGCCAGGTGAGTCGTGCGTGTCTGGTGCCGACGGGTGCTTGGCGCGGAGCGCTTGAAGTAGTACGGTCTTGGTCGGTGTAACAACAGGTGTCAAACAGGTGACGCTTCGAGAGTCGTAGTAACAGCCCGCCTGGGACCGTCCCTCTGCTCTGGCGACCACGCCCGTGTCATCGGGTTGGGGTCGTGGCGGTGGGGGTTTGCACAGCGAGTCTGTACTTGTGCCCTTGTGCAGCTTCTCTCAAACCCCCCGCCAGCGAGGAATTGCCGCCGCAGGCGCCTTTTCACTGCCGGCCAATCAGGATGTTTCGGAGAATGTTGACCGCAGGGGCACCAGGCTCGCAGGGTTCACGTTCAGCGAGTGGAAGGGGGAAGGCTTGAAGTGGGTCAGATGCCAGGTGGAGGAACGGCGGGGTCGCAGCACGGCGGGCAGTCTGCGCGATAGGAGGTCAAAGAAAGGCACCAGCAACTCCATCAAAGAGACCAAAGCGAAGCGGGAATCAGGTTCGTCGGTGGCCAGCGCCTCTGGCGAGATCGCTGAAGTCGAGGTTGCGCTGGGTTCGGGTTACCGCCGTCTCGTCCCTCTCACACTTCCCTCGCTAATGTTGATGTCGGGATGCGGTGCGGCCTCGGGTTCATCTGCGGCTCGTGATGGGATATCTGATTGTCGGGATGCAATTTAACCTCTCTGCCGCTCCCTTCTCTCCCTCTCAACCGCGTTACCGCTCCCCACCGTTCGCTCCCCCTTCGCCCCGAGCCCACCACGTCTCCCCATTCGCACGCTCCCTTCACTGACTCTTCGCCACCCTTTCCCGCCTTCTCTCCACCCCTGCTTCCGCCTCCCCCCCCCCCCCAGCAGCAGGTTTGAAGGCTGGTGGCGCTGGGGTGGGGACAATCTGGGGGGCAGCGGAAGGGGAAAGACGGAGAGGGGGAGGGGGACGGGCGGGGAGGCGGCAACAGAGGGTGGCGGGCAACAAGGAGGCAGGCGGAGCGGAGCGCAGGAGGAGCAAGTATGGTGCGAGGACGGGAGCGAGGCGGGTGGAGGGGTGGTGTGGGTAGATGGGACGTGCGCCCAGCTGTTTCTCCTGGAAGGTGTGGTGTGGACACGCACTCCATCCACTCGCGGTGGTGCAGTGCAGTGTGGTAGTGAGGTCTGATGCGGTGCAGTGTGGTGTGGTGATTATGGCATCACCACTTCCCCTCTCTCCCTCATCATCTCGTTCTTACCTCCTATTTCATTCAACCACACCCTTTTTTAGTCGACACAAAACGCTTATCTTTCACTCAACCACGCCCTCCGTCCATGTAGGCCTGTCATAGGGCAGGGTCAGCCCATCGAGGTCGGGTCAGGCCGGACTTCTTGAGATGGGAGACGACTCTGTTCGTCACAAATCGCCTACACACACGCTCTCCTACAGTGCACGACAGACGGATTTTCCTACAGTGCAATTATTCCCAAAAGTACATGGATGGATAACGTGTCTCCACGTGTGCCCTCCAGGTTCTGATTCGGGTCAACCATTCCTCAGCCCAAGGCTGGCACACGTGGGCCTTGTCTGTCCCAGAAGGGATAAACACGTAGGTGGACGGAGTGAGAGGGCAAGGTTGTGAGGGGACAGGAATTGCAAGGGGGGGGAGCGAGGGGGGAGGTGTAGGGAGGAGGGCTTGGTAGAGCATGAGGCTAGGGAATGGCACTTAATCGCTAAGAGCACAACTCATTCCTGAAGAAGCAACAACGGCTCGTACACAAACAGCCAAGAAGATCACTGCGGTCAGCTGAAGCTCCCTCTACTCTGCACCTCTACCTGGCCTCCTCTCCATCGTGCATTCCCACCCTATGGATTCCCTGGCGCTGTTGGGAGCGGGTCGTCACTGGGAGGCCATCGGGGGCTTCAAGGCCGTGCTGCGGGTCGTCACTGGGAGGCCACCACAACGCACGCACGCGCTCACCCCCCGTCCCCCCACCCCCCGCCACCTCTTCCTTCTTTTTTTCACACACGATCAGCACACACTGTGGCATGAAATGAAGCTCAGTATGAACCCTTGTCTTGGCTTCGCATCTCGTCACCCCGTCTCCCTCCCCTGACCGCCTCCTCCTGTGCTTCTCCATGCCAGTGCCAGCGGCAGTACAACCCTGACACACCCACCTCTCCTCTCCCCTCAGACCCAACGCTCTCCTATTCCTCCACATCCCCCCTCCCTCCCCACCCACTTCGCCCATCCCCCTCCCTCTCCCCTCCCTCTCCCCTCCCTCTCCTCCCTCTCCCCTCCCCCCCTCCCGTGCACCCACCGGCGCAGGCACTGCTGGAAGCGGGGCGGTGTGGGGAGGCGGTGGGGGAGCTACAGGCGGTGGTGGCGGCGCAGGGGCAGTACTGGCAGGTGCGCGTGGTGCTGGGACAGGCGCTCATGGTGGCGGGGCACGTGCACGACACTGATGCCACCTTGCAGGCCATGGACGCACGGTGAGAAGATGGGGGGAGAGGGGAGGGGAGAGGGGGGAAAAGGGGGGAGGGGGGGGGGGGGGGGGAGGGGAAGGGGGAATGATGGGTGGAGGGGGGGGGGGGGAGGGGAAGGGGGAATGATGGGTGGAGGGGGGGGGGGGGGAGGGGAAGGGGGAATGATGGGTGGAGGGGGGGGGGGGGGGGGGGGGGGGGGGGGGGAGTGGGGGTGGTTGGGGGTGGAAGGGGGTGAATCGTTGGGGGCAGTGGTTGGGAGGTGGAGTGGGGGGAAGGAAGTGTGGGAGAGAGAAGGATTATCCACATACCGTGAAAGAAGTGCAAAGAATAGCAAGCGTGACAAGTGAACATGCGAGCAGGCAATTCCATGCTTGTGCTTCTGTATGAGCTGCCACCCACTGCAATGCTCCAATGTCCCTACTCTTTTGTGTTATGCTGTTTGGTGCTGCTCTGTGCCATATCCCCTTCGGCCCTAAGTCCCACCTTTGTGGAGGTGCACTGCATTTATGCCAACCTCCATTTCTCCATGGGCCATCGCCAGTATGTCACCCGTGGTCCCCTCGGCCTCCCCCTCCACTTAATTACGCATCCCCTCTCAATTCACACCTTCCAGTTCAACCCCCCCCCTCCCTCCCCCCCCACCCCCCCCCCAATTCCCCGATACCCCCTCCCTCCTATTCCTCGCATGCCTTAATAGTCAGTGCTTGCAACCCTCCATTCTCCCATACTCACATGCTCGCATGTCTCCATGCACCCGACGCATGCCTGCCTCCCACACCACTCGCCATCCCTCACTGTGCCCTCCCACATGCCATTCCCACTGTGCTATCCCCCACCATGCTTATCCCACACCCACAGCACCGTGCTACCCACACCGCAGCACGTCCTTAGCCTCGCACCATCACACATTGAGATGCGCTTCCTGGAAGCTTCTTTGACTGCACGCCATGGGCCGATAAGCTGAAGCAGTAAGCTTCCCCCTGTACTCTCACACCTCCCTAGCCTTTGGAACCCTTACCAGCCAGCTCCTTGCTGCCCTCTGCTGTCATTCTTGCACTCCCGACTTTGCCCATCCATCTGACCCCGCCCACCACACACCCTCGCCTTTCCCTCTGCGCTCTCCCATCCCACTCGTGTGTACCTGCCTGTGCTTCCATGACAGGTGCGCAAGTACAATGACCTCTTACACGCCCTGCCCCCCAACTTTCTGCTTGCATGCTCCGCATGTGTGTGCGTGCATGCATGTGCGAGGTTGCGTGCATGTGTGTGCGTGAGTGCATGCGTGTGCGTGTATGCGTGCGTGCGCATACACGCATTCTTTTCTGCGTGTGCATAGAATGCGAGTGCACTGCATGGCGCACAGAGGAAGGTAGCATTGTACATGGCAGCTGGTCAGAGCAAGCCGCTTGCACTTTTTTAATGTGACCATAGCCCCTTGCAAATGCCCACTGCTGCTTGCAACGTTACACTTGCTGCATCTTATCCCCCAATTCCCCTCCTCCCCTCTTCCTCCCCCTTTTCCTGGCGTCTTCTCCCTTCTTCCTCCCAGTTCATAATCCCAACAATACCTCCTCCACACCCACCAACCCCCCCATCTTCCCTTCAACCCCCCAGCCTTTCTCCCTATCCCTCCCCCACACCACCACTATGACCACCGCCAATTCCCATGCTGGAAGCATGGAACAAGCGCTAGCCGCCCTCTGTGCTCTTTTCCAGCTAAGAGCTATGGGCGCAGGACACAGCAGGGGAGGGCGAGGGGGGGTGGGAGGGAGCGGCAGTGCTGTCGCCCGCTGTGCTGCAGCTGGTGGGGGCGCCCTCACAGCATATGACTGGCACGGGTTCCTGCCCAACATGCGCAGGGAGGGTGCTGGGGGCGAGGGGGTAATGATGGGAGGGAGGTGGTGATGGAGGTAGGCAGTGAGGAGATGAGAGTGGATGGGCCTGTGTTGCCTGTTCCGTGTCTCCCCATACACACTTGTGTTCCTGATCCCGTTCCTGCAATTCTTGCATTCCCTTCCATCTCTTTCCCTCCCGCTTTCTCCTGCCTTGAAGCCCAAGACCCGAATTACAAAAAACGAAGGCAAATCGTGCACAGTTTGCCTCCCGCAGCCCACAGTTTTGCCCCGCGTTGACTTGCGTTGAGCAATTCGGGTCTTGGCCTTTAAATGCACGGGTCACCACCACCACCAGTACCGCATGGCAGGGCTGGCATGATGGACCTTCGAGACCTGATGCACCGCACATGGGGGGTCATGGTTCAGGAGAGAGGTGGCGGGGTGGCGACAGGAATGAATTGTGATTTTGCACTCGTAGGTCATGGATCCACAGTATTCACCCTATTACGAAAATGGCTCCCACTCAACTCAATAAGGCGCCACAGAAGCGTAGCAGCTGAGGCCACTAATGCCCACACCACACCATTGCCATCACTTCTCTCCAGAACTCCAACGGACCGGTCGCAAACGCGCATCCGCTGCTGCTGGCAGCGCCGCCACCATTGGTGCTTGAACCAGCTGGGTTCTCAGCTCGACTGGCACCAGGGGCAGCAGCAGTTGTGGTGGCTGGAGGGGTGGCCGGCGCTGCGGGCAACGCACCAATTCTCTCCCCAGCGCAGGTGGCCGACGGAGACGTCGACTTTGGCATGTCGGCGATGAGGGGTGGAAGGGACGCGACTGTAGTAGGCGACGAGGCCGCCGACGGCGGGATAGTGGGAAGAGAGGGAGGAGGTGGTCGAGGGACGTCCTCGGCGCCAGGCTCATTGTCCTTGGCGAGCAGCAAAGTCGTCGCCGGCCAGGAACCAGTCGGTGGGGAAATCTGACTCCGCGCTGACGACGGCCCATGCTCGCCTTCCACACCTCCAGCAACGAAGTCTCGTAACAGATGACCTTCGCTGTGGTGACGACCTTGTTGGCGGTGAGATTGAGCACCCCCTAGTCTTTTCTATACGGCGAGACACAAAGATGCAGACCCCAGCGTGCCTTTAGTGCCAACTTTCCACCACCCTGCTGCTCGGGGACCATGAACTGTACCATGCAGCCCCACAGGCACGCCAGCGTGAGGTCCCGCTTCTTACCGAACAGCAGCCCGTAAGGTGTCGTCCTTGGTGGCAGTGAAGCTTGGTCTAGGCAGTTGCGCACCCAGACGGTCTGACCCACCTAGTACGAGGATAGGGGTCATACGAAGCGCAGTACTAGTGATAGGGCGGCCTTGGCTGGTGCTGGCGCGACTGAAAGTGGCCTAAGCTGCTGCTAGGTCTGCTAGGGCCAGTCTATGCTGATGCTGGTGCACTGGGGGCAGCCTATGCTGTTGCTGGTGCGCTGGGGGCAGCCTATGCTGGTGCTGGTGCTACTGGTGGCAGTCCAGGCTGCTGCTAGTGCGCTGGTTGCAGTGTAAGCTTCTGCTGGTGCTACTGATGGCCGTCTAGGCTGCTGCTGGCGACAGTAGAGGTTGCTGCTGGTGCTACTGGTGGCAGCCTAAGCTGCTGCTGGTGCGCTGGAAACACTAGCTAGGGTAAACCTCGCTCCATACCATGTGAGGATATGAGAATGAATGACTAGATTGGGAAAATACAACAAGTATATATGAAGCCTAATCCTAACCCTAGGAAGGAGAAAGTACACCTTTACCAATAACTAGAAGCTATAACAAATATAGCTTGACAGCGAGGTGCCACCGGCGTTGCTTCACACCCATATGACGCAGCATCGACCGCATGGCTTCGACGACCGTGCGCATCTCCCGCTCAGCCATGCCATTTTTCTGCGGTGCATGTTAGGTTGCGGACGATGCCCTTGTGGTCGACGAAGTCGGTGAAGACGCGACCGATGAACTCCTCTCCGTGGTATGAGCGCAACATCTTCACCATCTTCGAAATCTGCCGCTCCACCACCTTAAGGCACTTCTCGAACACCACCAGCATGTCCCTTTTCTTGGCGACCGGCCGAACCCACACATAGCGGGTCTTCCTGTCCTTTAGCAAGAGGAAATACAAGCGCTCGTCCTTGGCAGCCACGCGGAACGGCTCGCAGAGGTCAACGTGCACAATTCGAGCACATTCTCGACGTCCGAGCTCTTCTTGGGGAAGGTGTGCTGTGCATTATTACCGCTGACATAGGAGATGCACGGCAGATGACGGCCTGATGTCGATGCCGATGTGCACTAGCCGAGCATGCCAGACGTTCGACATCGAATTCGTCGTTGTGGCGATCGTCCGCAGCGCAACCATCTCCGTGGAGGACAAAGATATGCTTCCCAGCGACGGTGCCGCGACCTTGGACAACCTGAATCATCCTATTGAAGCAACGCACTTGGCTGACATCACCGCCCGGCTTCATGTCAACGAAGGCATTTTCGTCCCGATAATGGGAGCAGCCACTGTCAAGCAGCACCACTGTCGGGTTCGACTGCACAGCAGCTGCGACCGCCTTGAAGTCATCGCCAGCCTCCGGTGCTAGTGAGATTGTCGGCTCCTCCACGCCGACCATTGAGCATGTGGCGACTGCCGCTGGAGGAGTCGGCATCCTTTGCCGGAGACGTCTTCAATGTTTGCTTCTCCTTGCGCGGCTGGTTGTCCCGACGACATCGGCCGCGGTCGCCCTTTTCGCGCCTGCCTCTCTTGTCGTCGTCGAACTCATCGCGGTCGGGACAGTGGAAAGAGAGGCGGTCGAGGTCGCCACAAATGAAGCATAGCTGCCCACCTCGGTGACGTCCACCGCCACCGCGACCGTTGTCCCGAGCCGACTTCGAGCGGTCGACGCCATTCGCCGGCTTCCCGCCATCGCAATTGATTGGCAATGTGGGCAGTTAGGGGGTGGGAAATGGCAGAGGGAGGGGGACTGTGCGAGGAGGGTGGCAAGGTAACAGGGCTGGCAGTGAAGGGACGAATACTCGCTGGCGAATGAATAGTTGTGTGGTGTGGATGCGAATGTTTCTTTCTGTTTTGGAGACACCGAGTCCAGGGGGGGCTGGAAAACAGGACCGCCAGCTGGAAGGAGGTAGGGGGACGAACTGGATGGCAAGCTAGGTAGTTCTTTTCTCATCGTTTGCTAGAGTTGCCTTGCTAGGGTATGAGTGGGAAGCTTATGGAGAGAACCTTGGCCATGGGACTGCTACTGCGTGTATGTTTTCGCAAATTATTGTGATTTCTTTCCCAAGATAAGCAGTTACTAGCGGAGCCATAACTAGCAGTCTGAAGGATGTACGAAGGGTCTGAACTTAGGAAGGGTCAGAACAGAAGGAGAGCATGGGCAAGGGCAAGGAGAAAGTGGGGTAAAAAGGAGGAAGAGCAGTGATGGAGAAGTGAAGAGGCGGTGAGAGAGTGGGAGCAATGAGAAGGAAGGGTAAGATCAACAGAGAAGCAGCAAGAGCAGCAGGGACATGAAGGGAGAGAGGGAGGTTTCCGACACTGATGATAATTGTCTTATGGTCACAATAGGCTCAAATGTGACTTAAACAAATGATAGAGTTCTTATTCACACACAGATAGCAAAATGGTTATAGCAATAAAGAATGTTCATAAGTAGGATTTAGAGCGCCATAATCAGAGATTTGCAGCTGAGCAGAGATATGATCAATGGCAAAGCACAGATGCATTTATAACTCTTATAAAGAAATCAAGTCATATCAAACAATCCAGGTGCTACAAAACTTTGTCATAAAATAAGTCACACACACCCTTTGTTTTTGAAGAATTTAAAGTATAAAGGGATCACGGCAACACCCTGAAACGCAGTGATTAGTGCGAGCAGCATGCAAACTTGCATTACAATCCATAATTGCGCTGTTGTAGCAAGTAACCAGGAGTTTACTACACAGCCACCATTTTTCATGGTATGCAAAAAGGTCATCATTGTGCCCTTAGCGGTTAAAATTACCACGGGGTCTGGTAATTGCAGTGAAATATGGTAGTTGGACGTCACTTTGAATTTACAATGGCACGCAAATAGACTTCTCTGCTACAGTTCCAGAGCAAGACCTACCATTTTACTCATACAAACGTGCGATTGGTGATGCGTTAGCCCCACCGTAGAAGCGGTAAGTAGCCGAGCATGCCATTGATGGCTGGAAAGGCTTGATCCTACCCTTCTTGCATATACCCATCGTGAACGACCAATACTCCACCCTGAGGCAAACCTGGGATCATAAGATGGATGGGTTCAAATAGAGTTTCATGAATCCATAAGGGCATCGGAGAAACTGAAGTAGACTAACACGCAATGCACAATTGAGGCACATACTGAACGACACATACTATTTTCAAAAGCCCTTCAAACTGCACCTACCTTCCCCCACTTACTCCACCCCCCACTTCCCAAGGCCGTCCCTCCATCCCTCATATTCCTCACCCGTACACCCATGTTGCTGCCAATTGCGAAGGCAGAGGAAGTGATGGTGGTGGAGCAAGTGAGGCCGGGATTGTTGCGGTACAGCGCAGCCCATGGATTCTCGCTTGCACTGGCAACCTCTTGTGAATTGTCATTGGGATCAGCTTCCGAAGGGGGAACGCTCTTGCTATTACTCTTAAGCAGTTGAATGCATGTGTCCTGAGGTGTGAGCGTTCCAAATTTCACACACTCAGGTACGGTGAATGCAAAAGCAGCACTGCGTTCAAGGCACACGGAACGGCCAGCCTTGATGCGCGTAGAGCATTCAAGGCCGGGGTTGAGCGCAGCGAGAACTTTGTAATCGATGTTGAGCGCTATGCTGATGGATGCACAGGTGTCCCACTGGAGGGTTGAACAAATGCAGGGAAAGTGATGCGTCATGCGCTTATTGAAATTTGCCTGGTTCTTGGAATGTGCTGAGTTGACTACGTGAGTTGGTTGAGTTAACGGTGTGATGGGGTCAAGAAAACAAAATCTCTCACGTTGAGGGAGTAGAAGAAGGCAGTGCAGGGTGTGGCAGGA